CCTAGGATTATTTCTCAATTAGAGCAGTGATTAACGGGCGTACCTTAATCACCGACACAGTAAGGAGGGATTGACTGTCATCGCTTGTTTGGCAGTTATAACCTATTTATTAATAAATAATTAGAATTGTTTGTACATCGATGATCAATTAGGTGAACCATTGTTGAAGTTATTTCTTGGCTAGACCTTTAATTATTATTACCTTGCCTTTAGTGAATTGCCATTTGATTTTAGTTGCCTATTCTATTTTTAATTGTTTTCTTGTTTTAATTGTTTTAGACCTTTAATTATTGTTATTCTTTGTTTAGTGAATTGTCATTTATCTTCTAGTTAGTTAATCATTTTAGTTAGTGAATTGTCATTTGTCGTCGTTTATACAAAATCACCCCCTGTGTTATTTTTTTTTTTTGGATTTCAAAAGAGACAAATACCTCCAATCCCTGAGGATACGACCCTACTTGCCCTGTTTACAAATTAATATTTATTTGTGAAAAAGCCATTACATTCGGGTATATCGGATCAAACAAACTCTTCGGGAACAGGGTGAATCGAGTAACCCATTGCACACCTAGAGTCCTTGTTCCAGTACTTGGAATTGGGTTTTGGTTATTTTAATTGGCAAATAGGTTTATTTTTATTATTGCACAGGCTTCGACAACCTGTCATTTCCTCAACTGAAATCCTATTATATTCCATGGATTTAGTTTCAACCTTCTTGAAATTTGGGTCAATAGCAGGAAGTTTGTAGGAATTTGGATTGCTCTGACCATTTGCGTGGTTCCTGTACATCCCATACTTGGGTTCTACTGCTATTTTCCTGAAGGCTTATGCTGTTCAGATGGAACTTCAAGCGAGCACTCCTGCAATTATGCAACTTCAAAAGCTTTGGATAGAGTTTGTGGTTTGAACATCTTGACCATTGGCTTAATTTCTTCCTTTAAGCCACTGATGAAACTGGACACAAACTACCTCTCACCCGGTTTGGGGTTTCTAATCAACATAAGGGTCTTTAATTCTTCAAATTTCTCCTCATACTCTTCTACAGTTCCCTTTTGTTGTAATTTGTTAAATTCCTCTACCACATCACGTGACCACTTTCCAGCAAACCTTTCACACAATAATTCGCAAAATTCAGACCAAGACATCCTAGGTCTTTCTAGCTTCACCCCTTGGAACCAATTGTCAGCCTTTCCTTCCAAAAATATTTCTATCACATCTATCCTCTGGTTCTCAGGTATTTGGTAATTCAAGAAGTATTTCTCACATTTTCTTAGCCACTCCCTAGGGTTACCCGAAGAAGACATAGGCATCTCTAGTCTTGGCAGGTTGGGAACAAAGTTCTTACCTCTAGCATCAGGCTATATTCCATGCATTTCTGCAGAGGACATGAGCTTCAAATGCGCTGGGAGAGTAGGTAGAATTGGTTCTGACGTTCCTGCTTCAACCTCTGACATGCCTTTTTCTTTCATCATTACCTTTAGTAGAGCATTGAACTTCTGCTCCATCTTGTTGAACTTCTGATCTGGGTTCCCTACCATAGCCGCTAATCTCGAATTGTTCTGCTCCAATTCTTCATGGAATTTGTGCTGCAAATTGTTTTGACAAGAGGCCTAAACTGCAGTCATGGTCCCCATTACTTCTTGGAGTCTACTTTCCTGTTTCTTGAGTTGATCCTCCAACGATCGAAATCTGGTGTTTTCAGCCATGAGTGGTGTCCCTAGCAGCCAAGGATCGACTGCTCTAATTCCAATTGTCAGGCCAAGAAATCTATGAGAGGTTGGATGAAACTTAGCAAAGCAAGAGTGGAGAAGTGTTTGAGAGAGAAACTAGAAATGAGCAGAGAAAGAAGAAGAGAGAAGAGAGAGTAACAAGGAAGAGAGAGAAGATGAACCTTGGTATTACTCATGCCAATTCGGTTACAAGAAAATGGAATTATTTACACAATTCCATTATTCCTCTAACTAACTGGACATAAAGCACTAACTACCAGATTAAGTCCAACTATGTCGTTTTGCTTATTTTGCTCCTTATGATCAAAATGCATAGCAATCATTATAAAACGACATTTTATACTTCTTTTGATGCCTGACAGGGGACTGAACCACCATTGGATCAAATGGATGCCTTTGCACCCGCTGGTGAAACTTTTAAAAAATCTTCAAGATGAATGCAAATCAAGAGATTTAATCCCTTAACTTGCACCCAAGGAGAGCCTTGGTCACATGATCGAAAGAAGCGTGACCAATATTAAGCTTGGACTTAATATATTTTCAGTCAATCGAAGCATTTTTTTAATGTAAGTAGGAAGTCTCGAATTCGAGATCTCTCACTTATACTCCATTTCCCGTACCACCAAATCTATCCCCCTCCCCCTCGGTACACCTATGAAGCATGACCAGCATCCACATGGAAATGATTGTGACCAAATCACGTACATAAACTGCAAATTTTTTTTGAGGAAAAAGAATTAACAGAAAACACAACATTAGTCTTGATAAAACACAGCTGCAATTATTTTTTTTAAAAAAAAATTTGTTTTCTAGCAAGGGAAGGGTAGTTGGGAGGAGAAAGGGAGATTTCAACCTGAGCCACGAAACCAATACCTCATTGGCACAATTGCAATTAATATTGATAAAACATTAAAGGAAAATGAAGATTACGATATTATCAGAAAATTCCACAACATTAACCAATTTGGCAAAATCACAACTGTCCTCGGAATGAGAAACCACCCCATCCACCTCATTCATCTCTAATAATTCCTTCATAGCATCTATAATGTGCAATCTGGACGCATCTTTGCACCTAACAAAGATACTCAAAAAAAAAGTTTCATCACACTTTTCACTTGGCTCCTGTAATATCCCGATTAGAAATCATTACAAGATTGTTGAGTCCGGTAGTTAGTTATGGAATATTTCCACGTCAGCAATTGTACAGTTAGGGAGAATCTCAGTAGTAACCGCCATTTTTTTTCGTATAAGGTTCCGTTTGATAAATCTGAATCTGAATTCTGAAGTCTGAATTCTGAAATCTGAATACTGAAACAATTAATTTGCTGAATTTTAAGCACTGAAAAAAATATATGAATGTCTGAATTTTAATGCTAAACCTATTTATACTGTTTGATAAATATTTATAACTGAATGCTTAATAAGTTTAATTTGACAATTTTGCCCTTATATCCTTTCATTCAAAAAAGAAATAGAATCTATGATTTAATTAGTTTAAATTTTGTTAGGTATGAAAATGATAATATTTATTTTGAAATCAAATTAATATAAAAGATGAAATATATTATATGAGAAGTATGGAGAAGATGTGAAGGTCATTAAAAAGGGAGAAAGAGAAACTAAAAATCGTTAGATAGAGAATATTAGGTTGTTTAATTAAATAAGAATTTTGAATATAATTAACAAACAAGGGTAGATTTGGTAGATAAGATAAAGTAGTTGAAGTAATTCTATTGATTCTTATCAGAATTAAGCATTCAGTTAGGATTCTTGTGCTGAAAAAAATACATACAGGTTCAGCACTACTTAACAAGTTCAGCAAATAGATTTTTATTTATCAAACACTCAAAACATCTAAATGTCTGAAACAATTCAGATTCAGCACTTTTTTATGTTATCAAACAATTCAGATTCAGCACTATGTTATTTCCATGTCAGCAATTGTACAGTTAGGGAGAATCTCAGTAGTAACCGCCATTTTTTTCGTATAAATAAGAGAATTAGTGAAGTGCAGAGTGTGTGTTGATTTGATGTAACTAATTCTCACTCTCTCAATAAAATTCTCTCTCTTCTCTCCCAATTTCTTCTTCTTCTTTTCCTTTTCTCTTTCTTCAACCCCTCCACTGGGTCATTACAAGGTGGTATCTGAGCTACCTTTCCTTGGCTTGATCTGAGGTAGTTAGTTCCACCATGGCGGAAGGAACCAGATTGAAATCTCTAAAGGAACAGCTTAAAAGACAGGAAATTAGAACCCAGGGAGTAATGGACAGCTGGGTGGCGACGGAGAAGCAAATGAGGGATTCGATGACCGCTGATCGGCAACATTTGGAAGAGAAAATTGAATCATCCATCGATGAATTGAAGAACTTAATTGCAGCTCTATCCAATCAATTCAGAGCTGCGATGAGGACTGTTCATGGTGATAGAGGAATTTTGCAGACCCCCACAGGGCATTCTGACGGGCAAAATCACTGGGGACGTATTGAATAAGATTCCGATGGAAATAGCCAGTTCTTGCAATTGGCCATTCCAAGGATGGAATTTCCAGTCTTTGATGGAGAAAACCCATGGGAATGGATCCCAAAAAGTCAAAAATATTTTCATACATTCCATATTCCTGACTCTCAAAAGATGGATATGCCATTAGTTTATTAAGGCTTCGGTAGCCTTTCAGCATACTGAGTTGATCAAGAAGATTAAGCCCTTTAGGGTGAAAGTAGCTAATGGAGATAATTTATTGTGTAAATTCTCACATGATTTCTACGTACTGGATATGGAGCCTTATGATGTGATCATTGGTGTTGACTGGATGAAAGCATATAGCTCACTTACTTTTGATTTCAAGAAGTTACAATTAGTCTTTGACAAGGAACAGGAGTTGGTTAACCTGCAAGGAGATTCAAAGACTGCTGGTGTGAAAATGCATTAGGGAAACAGAGCAACCAGGATCCATAACAGGCATAGGATTCATATCAAGAGAAAGAACTTCATTCCAGGACACGAAATCATAAACAAGAAAGAACTTCATTCCAGGACACGAAATCATAATCAAGAAAGAACTTCATTCCAGGACACGAAATCATAAACAAGTATAAGAAGTTATTAGTAACTAATTTATACCACTAATCTGAGGTGAACTCAAGTTTCAGGCAGTGCTCGAAATTTCAGACACACAAGGAGACTGATTTTAGTATGAACAAAAATTGGAATTATGGGGATCCATTTTTTCTCGGAGAAGAGGAATAGATTTGTAAATTAAGCGTTGACTGAAAGTTTCTACAGGCCAATATTAAGCAAGGACTAAATACTCTTATAGTATAATGTACAGTATGGAAGCATAAGATCCAAGCATAGTATGGAAGCGTAAAGATGTTCAAACCGAATTGACCTAATTGACTACCTTCCAAAACATACAATTCTTGTAAAGAAAGACTAGGAATATGTTTGAATCATCCATTTATTTTTTCAAATAAAAAGCCACAGATGTCTTCTTTATCAGTTCATCGAACTAGCAACTTCATCTTGGTGATTCAGACCAGTAAGCAGCTGCAAATCAAGATTTCAAGCATTAGTACAAGAAGACATCCTTTTCCATGCTAGTGGGCACAGCACTTATATATCTTTTCTCTTGTTTCCGTTTTTTTTTTTTTTTGTGTGTCTAAAATGGATTCTGAACGATAGAAACCAGTTAGCTTACAAGACTTCGTCCAAAATAAAAGAATTTATCTAAATTAGAAAAAAAAAATGAACTTCAACTTGTGGGCTGTATTAAATTCTCGAGTATACCTGTGGCAATCAAACTTCAAGATTTTCTTGGTGTACCCTCAGACCAAGTAAAACATCCTTAATGACATGTAATTTTCTGACAACTTCATTCATATGCATCCTGTCATTTGGTAATCTTGCAGAGCACTTCAGTCCAATTTTCAGTAGGGAAATAATGCACTCCATCTCTTTTCCACCATTGCTATTTTTCCCTCCAGGAGTTATTTTTCTGTTTTCATCTCCTTCAAGAAAAAGCAACGGGTTCATGGTCTCAGAAACTTGTTCATGTAAAGCCCCATTAACATAGTTATGTAGATTCAGGTCACCCACGAATATATCATCAGTTGGTCTCCTCCCTGTAAGCATCTCTAGCAAAAGAATGCCGTAGCTGTAGACATCCCCCTGAGTTGATGCCCCAAGGCCCATTCCATACTCTGAGATTTTGTTTCTAGACATATTATTATTGGGTAGTAAAAGCAAAACTATATAAAAGAAATAAGTTATTAAAATAAATAAAATGTTAGATTGGGGCATAATGGACCTTCTTTTAGAACAAAATGACTTTAATTAAAATTTTTACTATGCATCGGTGATTGGAGATTTCATGTAAATCTGAAAAAAAAAATTAAAAAGAATTAAATGTCCCAAAAGTTCTATATTTCCGTGCACAATTAAGTAACATCTTGACCATAAAAAGGTTGTAAATTATAATTACCTGGAGCTGCGTAACCTATTGTTCCTTTTATGGCAATAGTACTGCTGGTTCCTTGCTCCGAAGAAGTGTTGACGGGTTTCGGGAGAAGCCTTGCCAATCCAAAATCACCCACATGAGCAACAAGATCATTGTCAAGAAGAATGTTACTTGGTTTTAGATCACAGTGAACAATCTCATCTTCGCAGTGGTCGTGAAGATATTGCAATGCTGAAGCCACATCAATTGCAATATTTAGCTTCTGAAGAAGATTAAGACTTCTTGAGCTTGTTGCCTGATCAGTTGTGTCTGAAGGATGCAGCCACAGGTCCAGATTTCCATTTTCCATCAACTCATAGATTAGAGCTTTGAATTCATCACCCTTGGAATCAATACTGGAGCAATAACTCACGATAGAAACGAGGTTTCTATGGCGAATATTTCTCAATGCTTTGCACTCCGCCTTAAAACTTTTCGAAGCTCCGTTCTTTTGAAGATCAAGAACTTTAACTGCTACAAGCTTATTGCCATATTTTCCTAGCCTTCCTTTGTAGACAGCTCAGAAATTTCCTGAACCAATTAAGTTTTCTGAAGAAAATCCTGAAGTTGCACGAAGAAGTTCATGGTAAGAAACCCGTAAGAGCTCATCGATTCTTGTGGGCATGCTAGAGAATCCGGCCACCATTCTTCTTTCTCTTTTTCGATATACCAAGAAATATAACAACAATGCACCGAGAACCAGAAGCGCTGCTGGTAAAACAATGGACAGCAATATGATAACCTTCAGCTTTCCTCTAGTTTTCCCCTTAATCACTGGGCAAGGTGGGAACTCCAATTCTGGAATGCCTCCACAGAGTTTGTTGTTGCCAGTCAGTGATATTTGACTTTCATTCCTGAAAACTCCTATGTTTGGTATCTCGCCCTCCATGTCGTTGTAGGAAAGATTTAAGTAGCTCAAAAACTGAAGCTTCTCAAGTTCTTTGGGTATTGGACCAGACAAGTTATTACTTGAAAGGTCTAATTTCTGGATGCTCTTCCAAGAAGCCAAATTTGGTGGAATTGTTCCTTGGAAAAAATTGGATTGCATAAAAAGAGTCGCCAGATCTGCACAGTCAGCAAGTGATATGGGCATACCTCCAGCAAGTTGGTTGTGGGAAACATTGAAATCCACCAAATGTATAAGCTTTCCAACTTCCGGAGGCAGAGAACCACTAAACGAATTCTCACCTATTTTCATGTAAATCAGTGATGAGTGCGTCTGCAGAAAATGTGGTGATATAATTCCAGTGAAGTTGTTTTGAGATATATCTAGATATTGCAAATTTTGACAGTTCATAAGAACATTGTCAAATATATTGCCCCCTTCAAACTGGTTAAATGATAAGTCCAGATAGTATAGAGCGGTAGCATTACATAGGGTAGATACTATCTGTCCTGAAAATTGATTATTGTCTAGACGCACAAATTGCAAATTTTGTAATTTGCCAAAATCTCTTGGAATGACCCCTGAAAGATAGTTCAATTCAAGGCTAAGTCGAATTAGGTTGACAAAGTTTCCAAATCCTTGTGGAATGGTTCCTGACAGTTGGTTTCCTCCCAAGTACAATGTAGTGAGTTGATTTGAGAGATTGGCCATGACTTTAGGTATATTACCTCCAAAATTGTTGGTACTCAATGAAAAAAGGCTTAGATCACTGCAGTTGGTCAATGATGCAATAAAATCTAAGTCTCCAGTTGAATTACCGCCGAAGAGGTTTCTTTCAAGATTTAATCTTTGAAGATTTGTCAGATCTCCTAAATTAGCCGGAACTTGGCCTGCGAACTTATTGCTGGAAAGATCAAGTTCCTCAAGCCCAGAAGCATTGGTGATTGAAGTGGGAAAGTTTCCAGAGAACTCATTTATCCCAAGAAATAATTCTCCCAGATTTGGTAGGGTGAGACCCATGTTAATTGGGAGATTGCCGTGAAAGTAATTGTCTGTTACTGAAATGGAAGTAATGTCTGAACTATTAAAGATGGAGGCAGGGATTATACCAGATAGTTTATTTCCATGAAGTCCTATATACTTCAACCTTTTGAAGAGCCCCATCTCCATGGGCAAATTTCCCTCCAGATTGTTGTACTGGAGACCAATTCTGATCAATGAAGATAGGTTCCCAATGGAAGAGGGAATCTCTCCTGTCAAATTGTTCTGGCCAAGATAAAAAATTTCAAGCTTCTTCAAATTGCTCAGCTGATCGATCGGGATTTTCCCTTCTAGATTGTTCCCCGTTAGGCTAATATTTATCATCTCTGCGCTGTAGCTCAAGTTTGCTGGGATTTTTCCACTGATTGTGTTACTTGACAGGTTCAAGACTCTCAGCCTGAAGAGGCGACCGAACTCTTGGGGAATCTCACCATGGAATTGATTGTCCCCAAGTTGGATGGACCTCATGAAGCTCAGATTTCCGACATGAGGAGATATGGTTCCAGACAACTGCTTACTCCTCAGAGTCAAGGCTATGACCCTTTGGTGTTGAGTACCACAAGTGACTCCTTCCCACCGGCAATGGTGCTGTGAATGGTTCCAGGATTTCAGCGCTCCAAACGGGTCATCATATATCTGATCCTTGAATTCAAGCAGAGCCAGGCGATCGGTCTCATTTTGAAATTGTTTAGCAGATGAAACATGGCTTACTGAAAAGTTCATGGCAACTGAGAGTAGGAGAAAAATGTTTCCTAATGTCGATGAGCGAAGTCCCCACATGGTCTTTGTTGGGATCGGCTACAAACTGATGATTGAATGGTAAAAGTTTCTGTGGATTGGGAACACGTTTGAGCCGTTAAAGATTCTTGTTGTTCTGCTTTATGGTTGCCCAAACAACCATAAACTTCGTTGTCAAAGCTTAAACAAAGATATGGTCAGTGAGCTTCCGCCAGACTCAATAGAATTTCAGCATGTCGACCATGACCCAATTCCTGGTACTTTTCAAACCCCGAAAATTACTTGTAAAGGAGATCAGAAACAATTAGATGTTGAATTCCTAATGTTTTGCATTATGGATCATTCATTTGACTAATTAATTTTCACCTCAGCTTTGTTAACCGAGAAGGTCTTATCAAAGCAAGAGTTATCTCCTGCCAATTTTTCATTGATATATATTATTCAGCCAAAGTAAGTGTACCTCTATAAAATGTCATCGAAGGGGATTCTTGTGATTTAAACAAAGGAAAAATCGGTCAAAAAGTCTCTCATACTTTGTTCATAAAATTGGACTTTTTTATACCTTAAGAAAAGGATCAAGTGTGAGTTACGTGGTGTATTTAGATTAAAACGTGGTCAAAAATTTAGATTGGAACCAAATCTGATCTACTTAATTTTGTAAGGGACATAAAATCAACATTTTAAAAGTGAGAAATGGAAAAAATTCATTTAACAAAGTGTAAGATCCTGAAGGACATTTCAATAATTTTCCCTTACAAAAAAAAAAGAAAAAAGAGAACGAATTTGGTGAGGTTTAACCGTGAGTCAAAAAAGATGTCTCTGAAAGGGCGTAAACTCCCTAGTGATTCTGCTGTCTGATACCGCGTGATGGAGGATCAGAGATGGTCAATGATCTTCCCAGTTTGGCCCACAATGAGAATCAAATTTAACTGACGATGGACTCTCAACTCACACTATCCTCATCCCAGCAAATAGCATTGGGCCAGTCGATGACTGGATAAATGAATCACAACAAAATGGCCGAGGTTGAAACTGAAAATTTTCCACACCAGTAACAGGGATGTTATGAACCACTTGGAGGCTTGGGCTCTTTGCCGAGGGCCCAGTTAGCAGACTTATTAAATTGGGCAAACTATACTAACACCGGCTGAACCTTTTGAAAACATTTCTTATTTTGTTCACTTGATGTTTTTTTTTTACCCCAGTTCGATTTGATCATTTAGCTTAGCTTAGGTGCCTCATCTTTCCATTAGTCTAATTTCTACCTTTTGTCTTATTGATTAAAAGGTCCCAGATTTAATACGGTATCTACTCCGGAGACATTTTCATCTATTGTCTTCATCCGTTTAGCCATTTAGATCTAGAAATGAGACATATTGATGAGATATGGGCATTAAGTATCGGATTAATAGAAGAAATTGAATAAAATGGACAAAATGTGATATTTACTATTAGGGTTTTTGTCAATGTTGTTAAACTTGGACTGGATAGAGACTGGCTAAACCACTGGATCAATAGTCAACTGGACGAATTGGTCGGACCATTCTCGACAATCTGCTGATATCAGTATGATATCATAATTATTTTATATTTTTATAAGTTTTAAAATATATTGAAATTAAATTCTTGGTTATATTTGGCCAATCATGAAAATGTTTCAAAAATATTAGACTTGCAATCAAATATACACCTAATAATTATATATAAAAATGTAAATTTATGGTTAAAACATGTCCATTCTCTAAAATTACTTAAAAAAACTAAATTAAAACAAATTAATGCAAGTTGGAATCATTGATGCTAAATTAATGAAATCATAGGGATACAAACATCTTGATTTAGAGATTATTTAGAAAAGCGAGTGATTTTGATATTTACACTAAATGGATGACTTTTTTTTTTATTCCTATTAATAAATGAAAGTGTTACAATTTAGGCAACTCAAATTATGTTTGGGGAAAAGAAGAAAATAAAGTTTGAGAATCGGATCAACCAGTTAAATCTGGTCACTGGTTTAACTGATTTTTTATGGTTTTGACTGATTTTTTACCAAAGCAGTTTTATACTACAAACCAGTTCAAAAAAGAAGGGCGGTTCACAATCGGATTGATCGAACCGTCTGGTCCAGTTTGGATCTTCATGATCGAATCGATCGAACTGTCCGGTCCAGTTGGATCCAACAACATTGGTTTTTGTAATAGATGGTTTAGGGCACTTGTAAACACATCTAACCTAACATAAATATATATATATATATATATATATATATAGAGATAAACACACACACACACATACTAACAATGATTATCTTCCCTTATATTTATATACTTTTCCTATTTAATTTTGCTGATCTTCCCTTGTATTTATTTACTTTTCCTAATTAATCTTATATTTATAAAAATATAACACCTAAAATATATCTTAACGAGTGTTTTATGGGCACACGTTACTATTATTGTATAACCTATTTGAGACACCCCAACAAAATAGGAATAAAAATAAAAAAGGTTAGTACATACGGACTGATTATGCAGGTGATGATGCATATGATTATCATGTAATTTAATACTAATTGAAAATTTTTTTTACAATGACCACCATGGCCATCCATAACTTGATCGGGCAATGTATGGATATGCTAGCAAGGGAACATATGGGTTTATTGTGCAATTGATTCCTGCCCTCTACCCCTTTATGTCGTTCTCATTGTGACTAAGATTTCATGTGGTAGCAAAATCAACATTCAAAGAAAGGCATGCTTATGTAAATCAATCATAGGAGCAAGAGCATGCCCTGTAATTAAGTACAGTACAATTTATTGTATAATGTATATTATGGAAACATAAGATTCAAGTATAACACAGGAGGATAAAGATGTTCAAGCAGAATTGAGCCAATTGACTGCCTTCCGAAACATTCAGTTCCTATAAAGAAAGAACATACCAACATATTTGAGTCGTCCATTTAATTTTTCAAATAAAAGAGCCAAAGGTGTCTTCTTTAGCTGCTCACACAGCTATCAACTTCAGCTCAGAGATTCAGACCAACAAACGGCTGCAAATCCAGATACATCTTTTTCCACGCTAGTGAGCACAACACATCACTCCTTTTTTTTTTTTTGGCTAAAATAGATTCTGAATAGAAAAAATCGTTTGTCTAAAATAGAAAAACTGAACCTCAATTTGTGACTGTATTAAATTCTCATGCATACCTGTAGCAATTAAACTTCAAGATTTTCTTGATGTACCCTGGCACCGAGAAAAACATCCTTAATGAGATGTAATTTGCTGACAACTTCATTCATGTGCATCCGATCATTTGGCAATCTTTGTGAGCATTTGAGGCCGAGTTTTAACAGGGAAATAACACACTCCATCTCTCTTCCACCATTGATATTTTCCCTTTTAGGAGTCATTCTTCTGTTTCCATCTCCTGCTTTGCAAAGAATCAAGGGTTCCACGATCTCACAAACTTGTTCAGGCAGAGCCCTACTAACATAGTTATGCAGATCTAGCTCATCCATAAACATATCATCAGTTGGCCTCCTCCTAGTGATCATCTCTAGCAGGAGAATCCCATAACTATAGACATCCCCAAGAGTTGATGCCGTAAGACCCATTCCGTATTCTGAATTTTTGTTTTCAGATATATAATGTTACGTTGTAAAAGAAAAACTTTAAAAAAAATAGGGAAAATTATCTAAGGGAGATAACTGGATCAATTGTTTAGATTGGGGTAGATTAAACATATCTACTAGGTACTGGTTCATAAATGAGACTTAATTGAAATTGTTAAATATGAATCACTAAAAGCCTAATGTTTAGATTGGGGGTCAATTGCCCGAAACCATTTTATCAATTAGTAACTCATTAAAATTAACTATCAATTATACAGGGTATATCACCCAAGATTCTAACAAAAGATCATTTATAATTTTTTTTTACTTTAATTGAACAAAATTTATTTGTTGCTCATCATCTTGTTTTTCCTTTTTTTTTTTTTTTGCTTCTCCTTGTGGACATGCCGCCATTTTCTTGCAATTCATTTCAATAATATGTATATTTTTTCTTCTTATTATTTAATATTAGTCTCAAATTGCATTTTAAAGTAGGTGACTGAAAATTGTGGTGTTACCTAGGGTAGGTTAGACATATAATTTGGGGGAAGGGGTGGAAAGAAATATAAACGAGAGGTTCTGGGTTTGAACCTCCTACTTATAATAATTAAAACAAAACCTATAATTTGAGAGTTTGATTAGTCTGCGCACAATTAAGTAAAATCTTGGCAACAAAAATTTGCATTACCTGGGGCTGCGTAACCGATTGTTCCTTTTATAGCAATAGTACTGCTGCCTTCTTTCTCGGAAGATCTGTTGACGGGTTTCGGGAGAAGCCTTGCCAATCCAAAATCACCCACATGTGCAACAAGATCATTGTCAAGAAGAATGTTACTTGGTTTTAGATCACAATGAACAATCTCTGCTTCACAGTGGTTGTGAAGATACTGCAATGCTGAAGCCACATCAATTGCAATGTTCAGCTTCTGAGAAAGATTAAGGCTTCTTGAGCTTGTTGGTTTATCAGTTGTCTCTGGATGCAGCCACAGGTCTAGATTTCCATTTTCCATCAACTCATAGACTAGAGCTTTGAATTCATCATCCTTGGAATCAATACTGGAGCAATAACTCACGATAGAGACAAGGTTTCTATGGCGAATATTTCTCAATGCTTTGTACTCGGCCTTAAAACTTGTGGAAGCCCCATTCTTTCGAAGATCGAGAACTTTGACTGCTACAAGCATATTGCCATGTTTTTCTAGCCTTCCTTTGTAGACAGCTCCAAAATTTCCTGAACCAATTAAGTTTTCTGAAGAAAATCCTGAAGTTGCACGATGAAGTTCGTGGTAAGAAATTCGCAAGAGCTTATCGACTCCTGTAGGCATGCTAGAGAATCCGGCCACCAGTCTTCTTTCTCTTTTTCGATATACCAAGATATATAACAACACTGTAATAAGAACCAGAAGCGTTGCCGGTAAAACAATGG